CTTCTGTCTTCCTCTATGCTCAACCTTCTGTCTCCCCTTCCCTTCTGGGACGCCACATGTTGTACGAGGGGGTACCTCCACAAAACGGATTTTTCCCCAAAAAACTATGTATTTAATTTTTTTTTTTACAAACCAACCTTCAAAGTGCTCTTCATTACACTTAATACATTTGTCAAACCTGTGATTCCATTCTTGGAAACTTTTTTTTTTTTCAAACTCATCTGTTTGGATGGCTGATAGAGCCTCCCTCTTTTTTTTTTCTTCCCCTCTTCTACGTTGTCAGATCACTGTCCTTTCATGTCTCTCTTCATTCGAGGAAATAAAAAGAAGTCATGCAGAGTGAGGTCAGGTTAGTACGGTGCGTGGGGCAAGAAAGACATGTTTTCTTTTGCCAAAAACTGGCACACTGAGATGGCTGTGTGAGTCGGCACAATGTTGTGGTGGCAAAACCAGTCCCCCATCTGCCACAAATCAGGCCTTTTTGGTCACAATCTTTTCAGAACCCTAAATAGAAATCTTGATTGAGATTGTGTCTTTGAGAACAAGTGCACAAATTTTGTCAACACTTTCATTTGTCCGGGAAGTTGATGGATGTCCAGAAGGAGGTTTGTCATCAATTGACATTTCACCTTTTTTGAAATAAGAAAACCACTCTTACACTTGAGTATTTCCCATAGCACTGTCCTTGTAAGCTGTATTCAACATCACAACAGTTTCTGCAGCATTTTTCCTGAGCAGGAAACAAAATTTCACAGCAGCACGCTGTTCTCTTTAATTGGCCATCACAAAAAACAAGGTTCCAGCGAAACTCCTTTTACAAAAAATTCCACTGTGACCAGAGAAAACCTTCTCAGACAACACCATTCAGTGTATTAACATCAAAACCAGACTGTATGAGAAGACTTGAGCATTAATCCTGGTTATAACTCTAGGAACAAGCATTGCATACTGCACACTCAGGGCTAAAAATGAATGGCACTCCAGTGAGCAAGCTGCTGCTCAGTGTAGGGAGACATGTTTGTAACCTTTATGAAGGTATGCCATACATCTTTCTTAAGTGGCATGAAAATGGACTTCCTGGAGTTTGAGTGTCAGTTCATCAGAATGGTGTTGTTGCTATTAGGGGCCAATGAGCTGGATCCAACATAACAAGACTATGTACAACAGATTGAAGCACTGCCCACAATCTTCATTGTATCAGAGCCCACTGTTTCCACCACTGAGTCAATCTATCATTGCATATCATTCTTTCTTCTTTTTGCTGCCCCTCTACTGTACTAAGGATGGAATCCTAATGGAACTAGAGACTTATCTCTCCTGATTGCATGTCCAAAGTACGTGAGATAAAGTCTCACCATGCTCCATTCTAAGGAGCATTCTGGTTGCATTTCTTCCAAGAAAGAGTTCTTTGTTCTTCTGTAAGTCTACGGTACTTTCACTAGTCTCATCAAGATGACAATTTAAATAAATCATTGTTCTAGTCTTCCGCTTCATTGCCAAGCTAATTCAAATGTTTTAAGGAAACCCACAGTCATCAAGTTGATCCAAACTGTAAATCTACAGGAACAGACAGCCTCAACTTTCCCCTTAAGAGTGGCTGGTGAACTTGAACTGCACACCTGTGGTCAGCAGTACCAAGGCTCCTTATTCCGCTGCACCGGTGACTGTGGGTTAAGCACTGGACAGCAAGGTCAGCAAATCAAGTCAGCCAGCTGCTTTAGAGGAGAAAGAGGATCCTGTCAGTCTGCACACAGACTGCTCATCTCGGAAACCACAGAGAGCAGTTCCACGGTGTCTTCAAGGGTCCCAGGAGTAAGACTTGACTTGAAGGTCATGGGTTGTTAAAAATCCCATTAATAATCTACATAAAAGTATTGTCGCTTAGGGTCACTACCTGGGCAACTGAAAACTCAATCGACATTCTTGCAACATATTGGACAACCTTTCCTTCCCAAATGGGAGTCAGCATGTGGTCTCCAGAGCTCAGGGAACAAAACAGGCAGTCCCAAGGGTGTGAAAGAGATCTGTTCATAATTGTGTCTTAAAACTTCCTTGGCTAGTCGCACCAGGGGCCTACGTTGAGCTTACTTTAGTGCAAGGAAAGACTGGATGCCCTCTCAATGATTTAAAAGCTGCCCAGGCAACTCATCTAGGTGACCGTGAAGAAGAGTCTGCTGGGAGTAGGGGTTGGTCCCATTGTTTCAGAGTGAGGAGGGCAAGTTTCCAATACCATTAAAGGGCAGAGAGGAGTTGTCTACAAGGTGAATGTTCACAACCTAGGGAATGCCTGTATAAACATAATAACCTATCCTTACAAGACAGGCAGCAATTTTCTCCTACGAAAAACGGTTGGGATATAGTAAGCGTACTTTGATATTCTGCGAAAGTGAAAGAGAACTTAAAACAAATCATAAATACATTCTGAGCAATCTCCTCATTTTTGAACTAAGTCAGCCTGTGGCCACACAGACATGTTTTGGTCTCCAAGCAGCTGACACCTCCTACCTTGTGTTTGGCTTCAGGTTCTCGATGGGCAAATGGGTCACCGATGAAGATTGAGTGGACCACTTGTTCCTGATGAAGTCTTCATAGGATGCACTGTAGACCAGGTAACCTGCAAATGGAAATAAGGGAGAACCCATGGGCATCAAGGAGGCAAATCCCATGCGAGGCACAGCCCAGGGGGAGAAGGATGTGGATGAAACAACATGAGAGAGCCAGCTTGGGGACAAGGCCTCCAGAAGAGGATCCACAAACAAGTGTTGTTAATGGTGAGGGGGGTCAAAGGCGGCAAGTCTCCAACGAGGACCGAAAGCTTTCTGGAATAAGACAAGAAGCAAGGGAATATCAGCAGATCAAATGCATCTAAATGGTAAACGGCTTTATTGATCAATGTTGTTACCTGGCCAAGAGCTGTTCTGATGACCCAAAAGAGTGAAAATTAGATTAGGGTCACTCTATGGAGTGGGATGGTGGGACATGAAAGTAACAGAAGCCAGGAGGAGAGGGCTTTGAAGCCCTTTCCACATAGGACAGTCAATAAGGACAGTCATTCTTACTGGTTTTCCAACAGATAGTTCACAAGACTCTGTAATGTGTTGTGCTATCTCCACAGGATTCTCTCACCTTGTATGATGAGAAAGTTGTACTAGACATGCTGGGTAGGGTTGCATATAGCAGTGATGCACAAACACAAGGCTGTCCCAAGGCTCCAAAGTGTGCCCTCTAGAACCTAGCTCCTGGGGAGAAGGCGGCATAGCTCATCCTCTTGAGCCAGTGGGTTCCACCAGTTAATGACTGTTTTTTGGATTCTAATGCCTAAATTGTTTCCTGCTTAAATTTGTCTGTCTGCATGTTGAGGACTCCAAGGTTTTGACAATCTGCTTCCCCCTGGGTCTGACCTGCAGGAGCACCTTTTGTTTGAACCCCACCTTGTTATTCGTTGACTTGACTACTTGGGAAAGAAAGACCAACAAATGAAAACTTTGCACAGCACGCAACATCTCCTACAGCTACCAGATTCTAAATGCCCTGCTGGTAGATTCTGATAAGGGGACCTTCTATTTAGGGAGGCTTGTGGGTTGCTATGACGCTGAACAGGTTCGGTGGAACTTCCAAACTAAGACCAGGTGAGCTACTTCTGAGAATCAGCCAAGGAAAGTTGATGAATGGAGGCAAAGGGCATTTATAGAGGTCTAAATACAGGCATGTACATGTGTAAATGTATTTATATATGATGATACGGAAATAGATATATGTACACGTATTTGTAGGTTGAGTATTAAGGTAGCAGATGGATATTGGGTCTCTACTCAAGTACTCCCTCGGCGCAAGAACAATTTGTTTTAATAACTTGACATTCCGTGATGCTCACCTTCCCGACACAATTGCTGAAGACGATTTGCATAAGCAAATGTGGTGAAGAAAGAAAGCTGATGGTGGCTGGCTATCAAAAGATCTAGTATCTGGGGTCTTAAAATCTTGAAGATAAAGCCATCTAGCTGAGAAACAACAAAGTCCACATGGAAGAAGCACACCAGCCTGTGTGATCATGAGGTGTCGAAGGGATCGGGTATCAGGCATCAAAGACCCAGAACAAAAAAAAGCATATCATTGTGAATGAGGGGGAGTGCAGAGTGGGTACCCAAGGCCCATTTGTAGACAACTGGACATCCCCTTACAGAAGAGTTACGGGGAGGAGACGAGCCAGTCAGGGTGCAGTATAGCACCATTGAAACATACAACTTTCCTCTAGTTCTTTAATGCTTCCATTCCCCCACTATCATGATTCCAAGTCTCCCTTACAAACCTGGCTAAACCAGAGGATGTACACTGGTATAGATAGGAACCGGAAACACAGGGAATCCAGGACAGATGATCCCTTCAGGACCAGTGGTGTGAGTGGCGATACTTGGAGGGTGGAGGAAGGGTGGGGGAGAAAGAGGGAACCGATTATAAGGATCTACATATAACCTCCTCCCTGGAGGACAGACAACAGGAAAGTGGGTGAAGGGAGACATCAGACAGTGTAAGACATGACAAAATAATACTAATTTACAAATTATTATTGTATAAATTTACAAATTATCAAGGGTTCATAATAATTTATGGACTTAACCTGGTCTGGATTGGGATGTTTTCTTAATGTATATAAGTTTTCTCTTAGACACATGTAAGTGTCTATGAATTTGTGTCTCGAGTCAACCCGGACTAACACAAACCCCAAGACACACAATCATACACATACTCCTTTCTCTTATACAATAGAGAGAGGAAGAGGTGATTCAAGGAAGAGATCTATTCTCTTTTTACAAAATATACACTGAACCTCAAATTTCAGAATTCCCAGGTGGTGCAAAAGAGCCCTAATGGATCTATAAGGAAAGTACTGGACTGCTAACCGCAAGTTTGGCAGTGCAAAACCACCAGCCACTCCTTGGGAGAGAGAGGAGATTATCTGTTCCTATAAAGATTGACAGCCTCTAAAATCATATGTAGACTCACCATGCATTGGAATCTGCTCAATGGCAGTGGGTGGGGTGGTGTTAATGGTTAAGCACTCAAGTACTTACCACAAGGTTGGCAGTTTGAGTCCAGGCAGAGGCTCCTTGGGAGATGGACCTGGCAATCTGTTACCGAAATGCTCAGACCCTTGAAAACCCTATGGAGCAGTTTTTCTTTGCACACACGGATCAACATGAGTTGGAATCAGCTTAACAACGGCTAATAACGACAACATCCCCAACAGACTTGTCTCCTCGACAGGTCAGATGAGCTCGTAAACACTCATAGGACAAGGCCTGACTCATACACTCAAGATCCTTGAATATTTTACTATCAAATTCAATTCCCACAGACGAGAATTCAGAAGCACTCAGACTGATTTTGTAAGCAGTTGGCATGGGAAAAGAGAAGGAGGTTGAGTCCCCAATCTGGGGCTGACTCTGACACAGGAGAGCGCAGTGGAAGCCCTTTCCTCGCTCTTGTCAGAGTACCTGATCTTCATGAGAATGTTTCCGCTCCGGCCGTTGGTAGGGTGTAAATGTTGGAATCGCACAGTACATTTTACAGGGATGAAAGCTGAAGTAACTAGCTCAGGGCCATAAAAACCAGTCAGGACAAGAATTCAGGTCTTCTGATTGCCATTCAGTGCTCTTTTTACTACCCCACAAAGCTTCTCTAATGGTCCATAGTTAATTCTGTTTAAAAATGATATCTGCATTCATTCATTGGTCTGCTCATCCACCCATCTGTTTAATCCAACAATCTAGACACCTATTTATTCACCTATCCATCAGTCCATTCATCTACTCATCAATCCATTTAACCAT